TCGGTGCTGAGCGTCTCCTCTTGCCGTCTGGCACTGCGCTCCTCACGCTCCTCGCACTGTCGGAGCCTCTGCTCTACATGTTTCTCCAACTTCTCGCCTTCCAATAATAATTAATTATGTATCGGCGTTATACTTGGTGTCCACCTCGCTATCTTCCGTCATAGCGAGTGTGGCCCACACCTCAACCTCTCGGCAAACACGCACAACGTATTACTGAAAAGACTCCTCTGACCGCTGCTTGCCTGTCAGCAACGTCTTTCCGAGCGAGGGAAGCAACTCTCGCTTTGCTTCCTCGTAGTTATTGCAGCAAATACAGATCCTCTCCACTGTGCTACCCGCTAGCACGATACGCAATCGCAGCAGCCATTCGCTTTCTTCGAACTCGTTCTTGGAACAGATGTCCTCAAACAGACCGAAATAACGCTCCAGTGGCTGCGTTCCAACATATGAGGGTTTTTTCATCAACGGTTTACGCCCACCGCTGTGACTGGGAGCTTCCGCTGTACCTCCAATCGCACTCTCACTGGCGGCTTCACCGTCACCCTCATACGCCTTGGTGAAGCGCTCGTTAATCTCTTTGAGATTTTGTCAAACTCGGTGCTGAGCGTCTCCTCTTGCCGTCTGGCACTGCGCTCCTCACGCTCCTCGCACTGTCGGAGCCTCTGCTCTACATGTTTCTCCAACTTCTCGCCTTCCAATCCTAACCGAATTCCATTGGCGGTGAAGATGGCCTCCAAATTACCTAGTGCCTCTCCCATGCACGCTTCAATCCTGGCTTGGTCGCCAAATGTTGTGAACCCTTCTGATTCTCTAAAAGTCAGGAACGAACGAGCACACGGCACGAGGACAACTATTTTCTCTTCAACAGTATATTTCACTTGATCGAATATAATAAAGTAACACTAAGATCACCAGCTATTTATAGCATGCAAATGACAGCGTATATCAGAAAAGCATACGTATATAAAACATGACATAACAGTGTTTACAGTAAAAACCGCACACAGCGCATATAGCGTATGCCATGCAGCAAACCTCAGCGGTACGGCGAGTCGAGATACAACATTGCAAAGAATACAGTGCCATAGATGCGAAGGCCTTTCCCACTTGAGAACTGGTGGTTTGTAAAACTCCTTCTACCCCCTCTTCATTTGTTGTTGTAATAAGAAGTGAGACACAATCAAGAGTTGCAACAGACAACACATGCCCTTGGACAATACAGAACAAGAACACTTATGTGCGCTTACAATACAATAGTACTGTCAATACATGAAGTTATTACTCAATTTCAAATTTGGACTTAACGGAGAACATAAAGTTATTACTCACTTTATTGTCCTAACAGCAAAGTCGATATATGAAAGATCCACGGTGGGAAAGAAGAAGGACTGGCATCATCATTAAACTTTGAGAAGAAGAATCCCACAGATCATGTAGAGCGGATTGACAATGTAATTCAAAATGGCATAATTAACAGACAGTTTCCTTCGTAACTGATCATTAATGTCCTTGAAAGGTGTGCTAAACATACTTTCGCTGTTGAAAAGGAATGTTGACATTATTTGGCAAGTGTCAACCTTTTGGTCGTGCCATCCTTTGTTTGATGCAAGTAGCATGGAAAAGAACCATAGACGAGATTCATGCAGTAGCTAAATCCACTCTGTGTGACATTCAATATGGCCGGCGTGGAACCATGATATCCGGGGATGGCCCTAATGTTGCGAAATTCCGTTCGACTATCATTTACGCACGTTGTTGTATTTGGTTCTTGTGTCGTAGAGTCCAGTGTCTTATGTCATAATATATGTTGAGTCCAGTGTCTGATGTCATGATATATGTAGAGTCCAGTGTCTGATGTCATGATATATGTAGGGTCCAGTGTCTGATGTCATAATATATGTAGAGTCCAGTGTCTGATGTCATAATATATGTAGGGTCCAGTGTCTGATGTCATAATATATGTAGAGTCCAGTGTCTGATGTCATAATAATATTATTATTATGTAGAGTCCAGTGTCTGATGTCATAATATATGTAGAGTCCAGTGTCTGATGTCATAATAATATTATAATTATGTAGAGTCCAGTGTCTGATGTCATAATATATGTAGAGTCCAGTGTCTGATGTCATAATATATGTGAAGTCCAGTGTCTGATGTCATAATATATGTAGGCTCCAGTGTCTGGTGTCATAATTTATGTAGAGTCCAGTGTCTGATGTCATGATATACGTAGAGTCCAGTGCCTGATGTCATAATATATGTAGAGTCCAGTGTCTGATTTCACAATATATGTAGAGTCCAGTGTCTGATGTCATAATATATGTAGGGTCCAGTGGCTGATGTCATATATGGTCTAATCGTAAAAATAGAAGACCTGTTTGGCATACAAGAATCCGTACGCAGACTTATGACTGTTAGCATGGCTCAGTGGAAGGTTGACCGTTGGAACGGCACCAACAACTTGAAATTGGCGGCCATTCAGCATGGGTATTTCGAGGGGGACTCCATATTCCCACTGCTGTTCGTCATCTGCCTCATATGACTACTCCATTCAGCTCTTAACGGCCACCACATCATCAGAGCAATCAACACCTGGGCTGTAGCTTTGATATGGTATAGTGCTGGTACAGTAAGTATCGTTTATAAAGTGACCGGATATAATGATATACCGGTTATAGTGATAGAACACGTCAAAATCAAAATCAAATCAGAAAAAATACAGCTAAAATATCACTATATACACTATTATCGCCTTCTTAGTATTTGACCCCACTAATTTCCCTGATACCTAAGCGGTCAAATATATCGCGTATTTGACTGCTTAGTCAAATACACGATATATTTGACTACTTACATTTGACTCCTTAGAACTTCTTGGACTTAGAAATTTTCTCTCCAACTTAGAAAAAGAAATTTTAGAAGAAAGCAGAAATACACAAGATGGGATTTGAACCCACAACCTTGTGAATCTCAGTCACTCTTCCTTACCACCCAGCCACTGTGCTACCGATGCTGAACCTAGTTTAAACAATGATCTTGACTTTCAATGCAGTACAATGCGGTATAGGCTATAGTATAATACTAGAATTACAAGGATATGTCGTATATGAAGAGAAACTATTGCGTGGAGAACACGATAAATAGATTATAGACCTCATAGTTGGTCTATACAGGATATATAGACCTCGTAAAAGACCTCGGGGGACCTCGGTCTTTTACTCGGTCTATATATCCTGTATAGACCTCCTAACCGGTCTATAATCTATACTTATCGGCTATACCGATATATCGCTTATTGTGATGGACTTCAGGAAGCAAACCATATGAAATGTACAGGAAAATATTGCATATAATGATCAAGAGTGATGATCACAAAACAATTGTTTTTTCAATAAAGTTCACTTCTTCCAAAACTGATCCAGTGTTGCCTGGTTGCATTTGGCAGCAGACGTGGCTGAGAGAAAATTCTCAATTTTAGACAGGTGTCCCTGTATGCTGTGGTCACGAATGTCACTCGACGTACTCATGATCTCTTTTTGCACCAACCCATTATTTTACCTGCACACACATGTCCGTTTCTGGCTGTGCTACCCCTCGCAATGTGCTCCCTTTGTATGCTCTTGTCCGTTTCTGTATGCACATGTCCTTTTCTGGCTGCGCTACCCCTCGCTCCCTTTGTATGGTCTTGTCCTTTTCTGTATCTTTCTGCATGCTCTTGTCTGTTTCTGGCTGTGTTGCCTCTCACACAGTCCGCGGAGCATGCATGCACTTTCAGCATGCTTTTTCCAGCGTGTACGCATCATTTCATGTGCAGTCATGTGCCATGTGTCGGTCAAACATGCAAATCAGCTATAGTGATACACCGGATATAGTGATAAATTTTCGAAAATCAAAGGGGCACGTTATATCCGATATTAACTGTATATTGCCATGGACACAGGACGAGTTGAAATCTGCTGACCGAAGAACGCGCAAGCTTATGACTATGCATAGAGCTCTCGATCCACGCGCTGATGTTGCCGGTATGTACATCAGTCGCAAGTCTCAAGAAGATCACAGAGAGCCTGATCATCGCGACACAACACCAGGCCTTGGCAACTAACCTGCTCAAAGCCCAAATCTCGAATGTGTGGAAAGGAAGGCGAGTCGGTTGCCCATATCCTATGCGAGTGTTCAAAGCTCGCTGGATGGGATTACTTGGAGCACCATTATCGGCTGGCCTCTGCGTGTACAGGAGTTGCGACTTGCATTGTGAAGACGAGTACTACAACCACCACTGTGGTCGGTCCAAGAGCATCGTGCACCCGCGGGTAACGTGCCTGAAGCTAGAGATACTTCAGACGCCAACATCTCCGCAGGACCAGAAGATCAAGATTCTGTGGGATTTCACCATCTGGTAGGATTGCTTCATAGAGCACCGAAGGCTTGATATTGTTCTGATTGATTTGAAACAAACTCCCAGTAAAGTCCCATTTTTGTCTGATACAGAATGTTCCTGAACGCTGCATGGATTCACCTCGAATGTCCCATTCTTTCTTCTTCAAAAAATTACGGTGCCCACTTGCACTTCGAACTGTGCATGGCACTTTCAAGACCTGACCAGCCTAGCCTGCAAGATCTGCACTGGCAGGCGCGGGCGCCAAATGATCGAACCGCACTGCAGAGTCGAACCGTGCTGTAAGCAGACCTGCAGTCTATGCTGTCGAACGTTTTTTTTTGGCGGCAAAACCGCTTTTGTCTTCTTTTCGAGCCATTCAGGGATTTTGAGAGAAATCCAGGGATTCTGCATGTCTTGTCAAGGTATAGAGAATTGTGTGGTTGGCCAGTACCTAACCCAATTGCATATGAATAATGTTGCGGTTAGGAGCCTAGGTTATTTCTGAAAACAAGGTCATGATTCGGCCTTTTAGATTAGAACTACGATATCCCAGACTCGGTGTTTTGTGCACTACCCGGAACTAAGAAAGAAAAACATTGTCTTTGTGCTGTGTCGTTCGTAGACATTTGTACAATAATCAGATCCAGAATTTAAGTGACGGTGTGTTCTCTGGTCTAACAAACCTCCACAGACTGTAAGTATTATCAACTGCACCACTGAACGCAGGGAACAGTTGTATAACGGTGTGTATATAGAAAAGTGCTGGATACGTGATGAACAAACCTCGATATAAGTGAGTATTATTATCTGCTGCACTGATTGAAGGAAACAGTTGTAGACGCTGTGTGTGAAATGCTTTGTTATGAAGCCTCTGATTCTCGTAAGTGTCAGGAACGAAAGAGCACACGGCACGAGGACAACTGCTTTTTCTTAACGGTATACTTCACTTGATCGAACATAATAACTCAGTCTAAGACGACCAGATATGTAAAGCATGCAAATGACAGCGTATACAGTAAATCGCACACAGCGCATATAGCGTATAGCATGCATGATGCATCAGCGATATGGCGGAGTCGAAATACTTGGAGAAGTGTTGGAGCTAGATGTCAGGTCTCCGAATGTCCCAGTAATCCTTGTCAGTTTTGTGCAATTTTGTTGCAATCGCTGACCTTATAAGATCTGGTCATGTTGATGGACAGTTAGTCAAAATTCGTAACATTTTTTCCTTCTCCTTTTTCACCATAATTTAATAGGCTCACCATCCGAGTTGAATTCTTCCTTATTCTTTTCTTTTCTTGCCCTGGTTGGCTATCACCCCTCTCTCGCACTTTGCCTGCCAATAGACCGATCCCCTTATTATACTGGGTTCGAGCACAGGGGCAACCTCAGTCGCGATCGAGCTAGTTTTTGAACGTGACAGCATCTTTGACAGTGTGCTTCAGGTTTGTTTTGGAATGTCTTCTGCTTAGTTCAAGTGGTTTGCGATGGCTTCGAGCGGTGCTGAACCTCCTGCTGGTAGGAGCAGAGTCTCCGAGAGAGACATGGACTGTGATGCAGCTGCAGGATTTTTTCAAGGCGCGGGAGGGAACGATCTCGGGCCACAAACAGTAGTTACTCCAGAGGTGAGTTTTTGTTGTTGTTGAAATATTCGAATCGCGAATCGTGTTGTGAGACTTATTTTGTGCCTAGGCTACAGCAGACCGTATTCCTTTCTCCTTGAGATCGGTGCTGAAGATAATAGTAACCTTTTTCTGGTCTGCCTTTTCCTCTCCAGGGCCATTTTCTATGAAGGTAACCGTGGTGCTGCCAAGTCACCAAGTCGCGATCGCGATCAGCAGCCCTGAAGTGGAAAAATCGATTTTCCAACGATCTGGTTGGACATCAGCCACTAAAGTACTTCTGATTTGCCTGTAGTGACAACAGCAGCCATCCTTGGACACCTTGCAAAGACAGGAAAAGCCACTGGTGGAAGCGACTGCTATGTGGTGACGATAGCAGTGGTGATCGCCGTTTTGTCAAGTCTAAGGGCTAGCCAACCCAGAGGAAGCATTTAAAAAAACGATGAGCAGTGCGTGGTATTTGTTGAGCGTGAAGAGCTAGAGGAGGACAGTGCAAACACATGGAAGGAGTGGATGGTGTTTGAAGAACAATGTGCTGTGTGCCGGCTGGTGGTGATGGTGGTCTTTGTCAGCATGTATTCGTGCTGCTTCTTGTGCTGGAACACTTCTCGCCCGAAGAAGGCAGATTGCGTGCTCCCTGGCCCTCAGTCGGCAATGGGGAATTTGTTCCAGGAACATTACCCCAGAGCCAGTGATGAGTCGTACCTTTGTAAGGTCAAAGCTTGCTGTTAATCGCAAGCGTAGCGCATTGGATTGCTCCCTCTTCGAAGTACGAGGGCCAAAGCTTGCCGCTCTCTGCAGCAAAGTGTGTGTGCGGTTCTTTTGAACCTATGAATATACCCCCCCCCCCCCCCCGTCTCTCTCTGTCTTAGGAAGACTGCATGTTCAGAGTAAACTATTTTCTAGTATATTTAATGTGAGACGGGCTGTTTCCGCCCAAGATCAAGATAGTTTTTTTCTGTTTCTATACCTTCCTAATAAAATACATTGTGACAGAGCTCTCGGTCATTCTCCGCTGTACTCCATCCTCAACCCGCCACCACCATGCGCTCTTGGCCGAACTAATGCACGAAGCATAAACACACCAGCACAGCAAGGACACTTCCGTTGACAGAATAACAAGTAAACAATATCTGATATTGTTTACGCCTCTAGACAGCTGTTTCGTTTCTTCGAGCTCATCATTAGAGGAGGATAGTAGCAGGATATTAATGATGATATAATATAAGATGATAGACGGTTTATGGTCCGATATTGATGATTGGAGATCTAAGAAAGCAATGACAGTGATTGCGAAATGGATAATATTATCATGATTATATGCCAGTCTGGTAATGCGTTGTACTGGTGGACAGTATTGAAATCATCACTGCATTCGATGCAAATATTGGTATACCTTGGTTTCAGTATTGGAAAAAAAGAGTAAGAGAACCTGGTTGATTTGGTTGCATCTGCGACTGGCTACCGGGTGTTGTGATCAGCAAAGTTACCATGGGAGAAAATAACAGCGCAAGGATCTGTTGGGTCTTGTTTTGCCGTGCCGGTGCGAGAACCCTAAGTGCATGGCAAAATAGAACTGTTTCATCCACAATGCAGAATGTCTTGCGGTACATGGCATTGATGACTGAACATCTCGCCAGCTCGCCCAAATGGGGATCATGCCCAAACGGAGGAACAAGACATCTTTCCAGCTCAGCTAGCTATATGCCGTGAAACGGATTATTAACTTGTGCCACGCATGCCAGCTTCTGTTCCATTCGGCCCAGGCTTAGACACGTCAATAGCAGCTGATCCTCCATTACATGCTCATTGGCGATTTAAGGCCACCTCCATCTGTATCCGCCGTCCCTCAGCTTCCGTCTTCGCAGATATTGCGCGGCGCAGTACATTTTCTCGGCTAGGCTCAAAGAAGTCCCACAGAGCGGTCCAAACACCTGAAGGCAAACCAGTCAGAAACTGGAGCGGCTCAGAGTCTTTCTTTACGGTATTGTACGTAAGCTGTTTTTCGGCTTTCTTCACCCCAGTCCTCACATCGTCCTACTGCTCCACGAGACTCTGAACACGAGCTCTACTTGCTGCCAGCTCCTGAAACAGATGCTGCACTTCCATTACAGGACCAAACTGCACTAAGCCAGAATCCTTTCCAACTCCAAAGTACCGTTGCCTCTCAGCAAAATACTGGTTTGGGAGCATGGGGAGCTCGTGATGCAGACGCTGCAATTCCATGACCGAACTGCACTAGGCTCAGCAAATACGGTTTGCGAGCATGGGGAGCAGGGCGTCCAGACTCCACTCTCTTGCGAAAAGCAAACCTGGTACCGTAGGACAGCTGTTTGGGTTCTTGGACTCATCCTGCCCTTGTAGAGCTGGGCAAAACGATTTCGATTTCGGGATCGAAATGATCGCTGCAACTCAAATATTCAGAGTGACCCTAAACCTACGTCCTTCCTCACGGGGCATAGCCTGGATCCGCTCGCTCCAGGCCGCTGTGGCTCCACACGAGGAAAGGAGTGAAATGACTTGTTTGCTTCGTCCTCCTGTTCTGACAGTGAGGAATGCAGGAATGATCCTGAGAAGGCATCCTGAAGTCGAAAAAAGGAAGACGTCTAAACAAAAACAAAACAGCTCAAATCAAAAGTCTTTGTGACATTTTTTGTAGACAGACTTGCACTGCATGTAGATTTCGCGTGCTCTGCACTTCGCATGCGAGAAGTCGCGCACAGCTAAGGTGAGGTTGGTCGCGTTTGTGCAGCAGGATCCCACGCGACTGCGGAGTTGCCCCCTTGCTCGAACCCAGACAATAATAAAGGGATCGGTCTATTAGTCATGGACCACGAATTGAGTGAAATAATTTATTAAAACGTTCCTCTTGTATTATTTTTTATTTATTTTATTTTAAATAATCGACGTGGAGAAACACAACTTTATAATAGCAATAAAGAGAACAATTCTGCTGTCATCGCCAAACTACAACGAAGGCATAAAAGTTTACCAAAAACTAATTTTCTTGTCACATTCATCAGTGGAAAGTCGTGACTGAAGAGTAACCATGCTGAACAATGATTAAAAATACATTCAATAATGTGTTACGAGAACAAAATAAAGTGCTAAAATAGAATGAGGGAGGGTGAGACAATAGAAGTGAAGTGAGAGCCAAGTGCAACGGCGGGTGAGAAACTAATTTTAACGCTAAAACTGTGTAGTGAGGCAAACAATCATGCTGTGCACCTACGAAAACAATCTTAACGCAACTACACGTTTTTTCTGCTTACAAAAATCAGGCTTAAGCAAACGAATACAAACAGCCTCAAATACTTTCAGCTGACTACGGATATGCACTTCCAGGTCAGAGACACTGTTATCTAGCCAGGTCTTGAATACGGCTAGTATATCCAGCTGCTGTTCTATCATTATACTTTCAACTTCACACAGTTTGTGGCGTAGACTGCGTAATAATTATACTATTTTGATGTGGCCAATGTTAAGTGTACTACTGTGCTGGTCCAGGTGGTGGGTGTGTGGGTGAAACGGGGCGGCGTGTGGATTAAGGTTCATGCTGATCCGATGGGTGTGTTGAGCATGCGGGTTCAAGGGGAGTGGGTCGGTGGTTTGAGCCATTATGCTTTAACGGGTTTGGGAACCCAGGCCTCTGTACCAAATCGCCACTCTCTTACAGTACGGCCAACTTCGTCAGGCCAGAACGATGCTTCCGCGACCTTCTTGGCGTCCGTGACCAAGACTGTAATACGAGCAGAGGCTGTTCTAAAGTGCACGGAGGTGTACACGACGCTTTGTACTACAGATACACCTTGTGCCTTGCAGTGTTCAACTTTTGAATCCACATCGCAGTCCGGGTGAACATTTCCAATGCAGTACACCGTCATGCGGGGTCGTCCTACGAGTCCAGGTGCTCTCTTGGGTGTTTTCGGTGCTGTGTACCGCGATGTCTCCTCCCCATGGTGGTTTGGCTTTTGCGTACGTTTGTCATGGCCAGGTGCATGCGGCCTTGGTGGCTGGCTTGCGGAGTCTGCACACAAATTTTCTACAATGTGCTCTGCAGCTGGGCCTTGTG